CTAGAACTGTGTTGGCTTTTTTGGCAGCTGCTGCACACTGCTGGCTCATATTTAAATGGTTGTCCACTAGGACTCCCAAGATCCCTCTCACAGTTACTACTATTGAGCAAGGTGCCACCTATAATGTACCTGTGCATTTCATTTTTGACTTGACACATTTAAGTGCTGCAATATTCATCTTGGGCAGCCATATCAATAATACTTTTGTTTGAAGGCTTCGTTGGCCTTTAGAACTGATTGGACTAGAAATTGGATGGAGAATTCATATTGAGAAATGAAATTTGAAAGTTGGGTGGCCCAAGTGTGAGGCTGCCTGTTGTCAAACTGCTCTTTAAAACTCTTTGAGGTTGCTTGTGGTGAAACTGCTCTTCTGGATCCAGGAACCTATTCTTCAGCCAGTAATTGAATATTTTAATTACAAAACAGCTTGTATGGGGTAAGCCCAACTCTGTCCTTACTGAGGCTATCCCCACTTGAATTGTTCCATTGATGTATAATTGTAAGAGTCTATAATGAATGTACATTGCAACTGCCTAGATTTTATTTAAATATAAAGAAAGCTTCCAGATAGTTAGGACTCTACAATAGTGGTCCAGTGCTTACTAGGGTTGTGAGTTCTCCATCTCTGAAGATTCTTAAAGGTTGACCAGCCACATCTCAAGGATGGCTTAATACATTACAGAATTTTGGACTAGATGATCGTTGGGGTTCTTTCCAATTCCAGTGTTCTGGCATTCTGAGATTCTGTATCAACTTTTGGGATTATTATCCAAGAAGCATTTTTATTTGTACTGATAACATGTCTCTTATTTTTATTTTTAAAGGCCATTCATTCAAAAAGCTATTATTGTAAAAAGAAAATATTTTGATTAGATGCATCATTATATTGCACTCATTTCTCACCTTGTCCCTCTAAATATTTTGCCTATAATTCTCAAAACACTTAATCATTGATCATGCTGATAGGGTTTTATTCATCCAAAATATATGAAGAGCACTAAACTGTCTCTTCCTACCATCAGAAATCCATATTAAACAATTCACAGCCAAATTCCTTTTTTGCACATATTAGTACTGAGCTATTGTCTCAGCAGAGCTTGCTAGGGGAATCATAAAAATCGCTCCAATATCTTTTTGACTAGCAGTTTTATTATGACATAGTTTCCCTAGCAACAGCTTCTACCTGGGGACTTACGATCTGTCAAAATTGGGCAGGATAAAGTTACAAGCATTGCAAATGGCCCACTAAGATTAAAGAAGCTTTATCTATCCAAGAGAGGCACTGCTTTACAAATAAATATTTAGCAGCAACTCAAAAAGATAGAATATTATTAAAAGCATTATTATAATTTCACTTTCATAAAGAATACAATCCTGATCATTAAATATCAATACAGCTTCTCAATTATGTCATTTTCTAACCATCATTATTAATATTTTTCAAAATATTTTGAGGTATATTAGATAGGGATATTTTAAACAGAGATATTTTACATCTCTGTCGTGAACGTTACTGCTCATTCTTTAATAAATAAAATTCCATGTCTTGTCTAAACTTTGATGGTTTTTTTGAAATAATTGTAAGAATTAATACAGTTTGCTCCTCTCCAATCTTGTGAGGTTTATGCAGTAAGATTGCCCTCTTGTGAGTGAATTTAGCATTGAAACAGGTTTTTATTATTTATGAAGTCACGAGCTTATAGCAATTAGTTGGGCTATAAAATTTTAACACATGGCTTATTAAACCACAAATTACTGAGGGTCAACAAATTGTCATCAATATTTAAGAGGAGGGGCATCTTTCTACACTGTATGGGCTGTCAGCTAAGTTTACAATGGGAAACTTCTTTTTGTTTTTTACTTTATTGTTAAAAATAAAAGTTGGACATGGTGCAGCCGTCCTGGCATTATCTCCGCCATACAAAACTAAAGTCTAACATGAATATTTTATGCATTCCACATACATTACTAATTATATACAGATACTTAACCCCTTATCAACATTGCATTTACCTAATATAATACATCAGTGGTGAAATTCATTTTATTTTACTACCTGTTCTCTGGGCGTGGCTTGGTGGGAGTGGCAGGAGAAGGATACTGCAAAATCTCCATTCCCACCCCAGGTAGCATTTGCCGGTTCTCTGAACTACTCAAAATTTCTGCTACCGGTTCTCCAGAATCTGTCAGAACCTGCTCAATTTCACCCCTGTAATACATATATTACATCTTCTTTCGATCTATACATTCTTGTTCTTTTCCGTTCTGACTTCTATTCCTCAAATCCAACCATTGGTAAAATCTATTCCAAATCTCTTAGCTATACAACGGGAATCTTCTAAATTCACTAGATCACAGTAACTGAATCAACAACTATTCATTCAACAGTTCCAAATTTTAAAAACAAAACAATTGTCATTTTCATTGAAATCATATTAAAATGCAAAAATTGGGCGTGCTCGTGAAATATGTGTGATTTTTTTTTTCAAATCCCCTCTAGAAATGAAGTCTGCTCATGAGCAAGAAAAAAGAGAACTTGAAGAAAGTTTTGAAAAGTTGCGCTTGTCACTCCAGGTTAGTATTTTATTCATGTGCTGGTTGACATTGTTGCTTGCTATATTATGTGGGTCTCCTGGAAGAGCGAAATTCTTCCAGCAGTTCAAAAGCAGGAGCATGAAACAGACTCTAAAGTAACTTGAGGAAGACTCTAAGGAGCAGTTTGTGTCTGTTATGATGCCTGCTGGTTTAGCTTTCCACCAGCTGTACTTGTCTACTATTTCCCTGAGTAGTGCTATGAGACCGCACACAGTGGATATTTCCCTGAGTAGTGCTATGAGACCGCACACAGTGGATACTCAAGATCAAACAACATAAAGTTTAAAGGCAGCAAATGAGGAATATGCTGGAAACAGTAGAATAAAATAGAATCAGGGGTGGAATTCTACTGGTTTGGACCAGTTTGGGCGAACCATTACCTCTGACTATCAGCTGGGAGCAAGCCAGTTTGTTCTGATTTTCCAGTCGCATCACAAGGTTCAACCTCCCTTCTGTGTGCAGGTTCATTGTTGTCTCGAATGAGACCAATCACTGTTGTATCATCTGCAAACTTCAGTGCTTTAACAGAGGGATCTTTTGAGATGCAGTCATTGGTATATAGAGAGAAGTGGATAGAGAGCACACATCCTTGGGGGTCTCCTGTGCTGATTGTACAGATATCTGATGTGATTTTGCCTAGCTTCACCTGATGCTTCACCTGATGTAGTTCTGGACACTACAGTCTAAAACAGACTTAACTGGAGCAAGTTCAGAGAAGGGCTAACAAGATCACAGAACGAATGAAGGCCAAACTCTATGCCTGGGATGGCAAACCTATGTCACGCGTGCCACAGGTGGCACGCAGAGCCTTATCGGTGGGCACACGAGCTCAGCTCCGGCATGCAGGCACGCACTGGCCAGCAGATTTTTGGGCCTTCTGGGCCCACCAGAAGTCAGGAAACAGGCTGTTTTTGGCCTCCGGGGATGGGGAAGGTTGGTTTTGCCCTCCCCAGGCTCCTATAAAGGTTCTGAGGCCTGGGA